CTGCATTAAAAATAACAGAATATTTCAAAAGTTGAAAGCTCCAAGAGCTGAAAGCTTGACTCTTTTTTCTTTTTCTTTCTCAGGGGAGCAGTTGATTTTTGTACGTTGCCAATAAAAATATTTTTGACTGATTGTTGCAAATTAATCTAGGCTAATCATTTTTTTATTAGCAACCTTATAATCATCAATGTTTTAACTGCATCATTAATAATCATTAATGCTTTGATTAAACACCAGGAATTCACTCATGCAAAACAGTTTAACTGCAACTTAAACCTCAGGCCTTAAACCTATTTCTCATAAACACAGATGATACAACTGCTATAAAGAACAGGACATTTTATTAAGAACAGTCAGGAAAAGGGAACAAAACCTGGATTTTTGAGTGTTTAAAAGCATCAATGGACTGGTCCGTAAACTAAGAGGTATAGACATGTTCTAAAAATTCAACTAACAGCATTATATTAAAACATAACGAACATAATGGTACAGAATTGGCAGTTTTGTAGCCAATCTCTTTACCCACAAGTGATTTAATGTGATGTTACCTTTTTTAGCTACATACATGGGAAATAAAACTTAGAAAGACAACCATGTTAGGCCCCTTAATGACTAAAGCATTGGGGACGTGTTTTTTCAAGCTATTACGTTCAGCAAAATTTAACAAAGAATAGAAAAATACTTGGTTGTAGTTTGTTTTCTGTCTTTAAAGAATGAAAAAATGTGGGTTTGATCATTTTTCGATGTTTATATTTCATGAGAAATCAATGAGAGAAAGCTGAATATTTAATAAGTGTTCAATACAAAACCAACTTTACTGCCTTGTCATGGATACAGCCATAAAACTGTTGTCATCTCAAGTCAGCTTTTTCAATACTTCAGTACTTGCAAGATTACCCTGACTGTTCCAGTCAGTCTGTAATGCATTTCACAGCCCATCTTGTTTACTGACTGGTATTCTGTTATTTTCTAGCTAATTCCAGTTTAGTCACTTATAGCTGATGACCACAAAACCTGTTTAGGAACAGGTTCAAAATTTGATGTAGACCTGCTTTATCCTTCTAAAAGAAGCCACTGCCATTGGGGAATATAACTGCCATGAAAGGGTGAACCTGTTCCACAACTACATTTAGATATCCACATTAATTCCCCTGACTCAGGATTTCCCAGCAGAACACAGAACACAGTCCCTCCACTGGCTTGTCTTCTTCCCACAGTACATCCTGGTGGCATCACTTCCCCAGGTGAATGCCACACATGTACCAAGCCGCCCATGTGGTGTAAAAGAAAACAGGACTCATCGGACCAGGCGGCCCTCTTCTATTGCTCCCATAACCATCATTAAAAATTTCTTGTGTCACAGTAGCTCTTCTGTTGGCTCTGACCAGACAGGATAGCCTTGGATGAGTCGATGAATCTTGGGCGCCCAGCCTATTGCCAGCTCGTGGGCAGTTCCTCCTCGGATCACTGTTGGTAAGTAGTCACCACTGCTGACCAGGAGAGCCCCACAAACCTTGCTGTTTTAGAGATGCCCCAAACCAGTCATCTGGCCATAATAATTCTTGTGAAAGGCGCTCAGGTCTTCAGGCTTGCCCATTTCTCACACATCCAACACCAACTACAAGGCCTGATTGATCGCTTACTGCCTAATATAACCCAGACTTTGACATGCACTGCTGTTATGAGATATCATAATGATTTGGCTCATCAGTGTAATTAAATAACAAGTTTGGAGAGCTATTAGACTCAGCAGTTTGTATTGATTAGGACATGTTCACGGGCTATGGAATTTTACTTTCAGGAACTTATTCCAACATACAGCTATAAAACAGCCCCTACTAAAGCACCTGAGGTCATTATGATCTAAGTCCAAATGCACAACAGACTTCCCAGTTTAAAAATGCATGTGAGAGTATGAAAAAGCACAGAGCACATTCAGAGCTATTGTTTGCTTATTGGTTCTGATTACCGTAATGATGAAAAATAACGTTATTAACCAGTAACAGAGACTCCAAATGACCGTTTCTGTTCCAGACCCTTCAAGGATAACTACTTTTCAATTGCTTTTTTCTTTCAGGTAAAACACTATTTGTTTCCACTTTCCATTTTTGTTCCTTGAACGATTTTAAAGGTGTGATATTAACCTGATCAAACTGATCCTCTTGCTGGTGATCCAGTCTGAGAATTTGGCGATTTCCACTTGTGTAAATCTGCTGCCAGATGAGTTAAGGCGTGCACATACATGCTGACCACAGTGAAACGTATCTGTGTGTAGAATCTGAGTTTTCGTGTTTCTATCACTGCCTTCATTGTTGAATGTAGTGTGATTTTTTCTGCATGACTGTGCACACATTTAGAGAGTAATTCAGATCTGTGAGCACTTGTTATTGACTGGACTTATCAGAGTAACATCACAACATGACTGATGCATGACTTGTATTCCTATTCATGTGCTTGCTTACTGAAAAATGCAGCTTGTGAGCAAAGCTAAACAAAAATCTATGATGTTCCAGCTTGATTAGACTTACATATCAAATAAATGCAAACAGCACTGAGAAATCGTGTTATTAACAGAGAAGAGTAGATTAAATGACAGAAATGCACTACAAAAGTACTATGCTCTGCCGTCCTGTGTGGCAGACTGTGGATGGAACTAGACTCCACAGGAAGGTAGATCTCCATGACCAGGGATGGTGACCACTGCTTCATTATATACTTTGGTGGTACAGTTATATGTAAAAGTTTGGGCACCCCTGATCAAATTACATGCTTTGTTATTTTTTAAGTGGAAATAAGTGAACATATCTTTTACAGAAAACAACTTTAAATACAAACATACATACATACATACATCATCTAAACCGCTTATCCTTCTGGGTCGCGGTGACTTTAAATAACGCTTTTTAAATTTTTGAGCAAATTATGGCACAATTTCTATTTAAAAATGAATTTTTTTGCCCAATATGTTAAATTCATAACACTAACTGTGTATTACAATGTGCAAAAGTGTGTTCACTGTAGTGGATGTGTTCACTTATTTTAACTTTAACTTTTGCATCCAACTGTATGTTAAAGGAATAGTCAGCCAAGTCTCTATCTGCTGCATCTGAAACCTATCACTGATTTCCACAGGCAATCATTTTGACAAGTGTTTCTGCACTTAATAAAAGAGCAGAAAGCCTGTTGGCTCTTATAATAGAAGCCAGTGGGCAGATGCTGAAACACACCTCCTTTGGCTTCTATTATAAGTGTGTCTGGAGCAAGGGTGGCTAGTATATATGGGCTAGTAGGGCTAAGCCCTCCCTCACTTTCAAAGAAAAAAGGCCTCAAAATAAGGTCTAATTTTTGGCATTCATATTGTTTTGACTTCTCTTAACAAAATTATGATTATTTTGGACTTCTGTGGGCCAAAGAACTATAGCACCACCAAAAGAAAAATACGAAGTTGCTAAGATGGGGCTGATTTACTTTTAGCCAAAACTGCAGAATAACAGCCTATCTGTGATTCTGTGTCAAATGTGTTGTAACATTAGATTTGTTATCCATTTGGGCAAAATTTTGAGCCCACAACATCCAACCTCGCCTTCCTTGCAGTCTGATTGGCTGTGACACAGTTAAAGCTATTGTAAACAATTTTGTTCACATGGATAGTCAGACACAGTCAAATTGTGAGCATGTCATTAGTTGGAAATGTTTAACGCGGAAATATTTAAATGTGCTTCATAAGGAGCTGACTTACACTTGTATTACTTACTGACTTACAGCTGACTGCATTTGTATTTGTGCCCTGATGGGATTCACAGTGTTATGTTAGTGCTTATCTAACATTGGTGCTGTAGCAGCTGTAAACAGATATTTAGAGCTTTTAACACAGACATTTGTAGCTTATAACTGCTTGTAACAGACATTCAGGTAAGATTTTTTTTCATATTGCTGTTTTACAGAGTCAGTAAAGATTTGAACTTAAACCTTTGAAGTTCTGTTTAAGTTGCAGCACAATCCTGCTGTGAAAATAGTGTGATTGTTCGATTAGCTTGTTATAGCCGTTAGGTAAAGGTAAACATCAGCATTTAAACATTTAAGGCAGCCCATTTCATTGTTTCATTGCTGCAGCTGGGAAGAAACTCTCAAATGTGATGTTACAGTGTGTGAGCTAATAGGTGATATTTTTTAGCCTTCTCATCCAATTATTGGCTATTGTTACGGCCAATTATTGTTATGGCCAGCTGTCAGTGGTCTGAAGTCAATGAGTTTTCTGTTCTTTTCAAAGTACTCAAACTTTTTGTCTGAGGCAGTCAATTGCATGCAGATGCAGCAGATAGAGATTAAGCTGAAAAATGCTGGTGTTTAGTAGCATCTTCAGTGGTACAGTGTTGTAGAATATGCAGTGCTGTTCTCAGCAGTTCACGTTTTACCTTTTTCAGAAGGTTTTAGTAGTTTTAGGCTGTTTTTACACCCAGTTTGTTTTTGAAAGTTCGAACCAGTGTTTGACTTTGTGATACTGCATCTTTTTCATTTGTTTCAGTTGGTTTCACACCACAAAGACTAAAGTGCACCAAATTATACACATGGGAGTTCGTTAACTGGTCAGAAATTTGGCTGGGATACAATCACTATGTTACTTTCACATTAGAGAAAAAAAACAGCGTTTTTAACTCTGACTGGCCTCTCTCTGTATAAAATCCAGATCATTCACATTTATTCTTGATACTAATGTATTATCCTAGCCCTGATTTGTATTAACCCCTTAACAAGCCATGGACCTGCCAGCAGGCCCAAAGATTTATTACACACTCCTTTAATCTGAGAATAGCTCAAGTAGTTTGCATCGAAGTCCCTGTAGGTACTGAATAATAAGCCTTTGTATGAAATAAACCTGGATTGTTAAGCACAGACACTTAACATCGTGAATCACAATCAAAGTAATAAAAATAATACTTAAAAGAAAAAGTTCAATTTCTCAGCACCAAACAAGGTATGAAAGTACTCTTAGCGCTCACCGAGTTGAGGTCCGACAGCAGGCTTACGTGGAGCTCGTCGTGTTGGAAGCGAGGGGAGGGGCGAGGAGGGGGGAGGGGTGTGCCCTCCACAGGCCGAGGGTTAGAGCTACCCATGTTATCAATAGCATTACCTGTGACAGAGAGGAGCACACAGAGTGAGAGTGAAATAGCTGTGGTGCTTCTTAATACTAGCTTTATTTAACAAGCTGAAATTCTAATCTTTAAGCCACGGATACAAATCACATTTAAATGCGCAAGTATTCTGGTGGCAGCAATGCTTATGAGTTATGTGAACACCTGACTCTGAAAACGATGTTCTGCATAAGCCCTCTTTCCAATCATGAGTAAGTGCGATAGGGCGCATTTGCCGATAACAGTCTGCAGGCGCGTAAACATCTTATTCAACATAAATGTTGAATGCATTGGGTATTAGCATGATTCTTCTTATTGCTAGCTTTCTCTCCAGTCAGCCTCAGTAATTCATCCATCACCACCACCTTTCCCACTAATCCTGCCCGTGTACTGTCTGCTGATGTTCAAGTACGGTAATAAGCAAGCCTATCTGATGCAATAACATGTTTTGTATTACCATTCTCAAAGTTGAGGTCTTGCCAAATATGCAAGAAAATCTTGAATGTTACCTGAAATCAGAGTCACGAAATAGAATATTTCTATGTATGCCCGTATACCATATACGGTACTGTGCAAAAGTCAAGACCACCCTTTCATATGTTTAATTTCTTAGTGTCAGAATTTAAATCAGTCTACAGTGTCCAATTTCTGCTTTTATTACAGCTTCCAGTTTCCCAAAGAAACCTGCAGGGATACGTATTTTTCCATGTCTACAAAGTTCAGTTTTAGAAGTTGGTCCTATTTTCTGCTTCTCACAATCCAAATAAACTCCAATCAGATTTGGTGTTCTAGTGTAAATGTGCAAATGTCCCTTTGTTTCCTTTTCTCAGTAAGGGCTTCTTGACAGCTACATATCCTTTCAGACCCATAGCATTGAATTGTCTTCTCACAGTGGAAGGATGGACAGATCTGAAGCAAGAGTGGAGGTTGATTTTCTCCTCTCTCTCAAAGATGAAAGCTTTAAGTGCTGTTTATCTGATGGTGACAGTTGTGGTGGTCTACCAGGTCCTGCACAGTTATTAGGGGTCCCATTTTCTCTGTAGATTTAAATCATTTTTGAGCTCCACTTTTAGAATCTCTATTTTTCATTTATTTTTCCACTGACATCTTCTGTATGCAAGTGAATTATCTTATATTTAATCTCTTTTAGTTACTTTAGATGCTTATAAGAAATACATCTGAAGGCTGTTAGGGTGAGTTTGAGTAGCTGCTTGTATGACTGTTAGTGTGGAACAGCTTTCGGAACAGCTTTTGTTGGGAGGGCTCAGCTGTAACTGGTTGGTTTTAATACTGAATGGATGGAATGGATGGATGGAATACTGAATGGACAGTAAAGAGTAGACACAGTAAAAAGTGAATATAGATAGATTTGATATTAACCTTAGTGTTGAAGGCTTTGTGTAAGGTTTGGTTAAATATATCTTTTCTGCCTCTTTCTGACACTGAAAAATGAATAACTTGCACCTAATGGCCATTTTGACTGGAAATTAATTTAAAAAAGGGTGGTCTCTGACTTTCGCACAGTACTGTATGTTAGGATGTGAATGGCTTAAACTGCATATTAGTAAAATGACCACACAAGAGTTAATATCAGATTTGCATGGTCACTGTCAGGCACTACAGCAACCAAAACAAGGTCCCAGTTTAAATTATATTTCCATTTACAGTGTCATTATTGCCCCTTTGTTCTAAATTATACTTACTTGCTAAAATATTCAATAAGATGTAGAAGGTAGAAGTTTTTCATTAACAACATTACACTAAATGACACTCAAACTAATAACACTAAAACTATGATATCAAAAATGGTAGCAATTTCATAATGTAATAAAAAATATATTAGGATTTTAATGAAACTGTAAAAACTGCAAAACTGTCACATTTTTAAATTTTTAATAGGTTTAAATCTTTTTATTTAAATTTTGCCCCAAATATACAGTGGCATTCAAAGTGTGAGACCACATTTAAAATCTGGGACATTTTCATTTGTAAATAAACAATAAAAAATGTTAAACTTTGACAATTTTTAAGCAAAGAAAATTTATGACAAGTAAAATGAAGAAGAAATATTCACAAATCTGTGATACCTCTAGATTACTGTTCAAATTAAACAAATTTGTGACATATAAAGATTTCTGTTGAAGCTTGTGGATTTGATTTACTCACCAGAGGCTTATGCACATATCAAATACTAACTGACTACAATACTAGAAAGCTAACTAACAAAAATAATAACTATCTAATACTAGCTAAATTCTGGGATTCACATTAATAGTTCAACATTCTACTTCAAATTGCTATGCTGAAAGTACAATGTGCAATGAAAACCATGTATTAAATAAAAAGAAATGACATTTTCACTGTTGATCTCAGACTTTTAAACCCCACTGTATGTTTGATGTGACTTTCACCCAGATATATCTGGGCATTTGTATATATTTGTATGTGAAATACATTTCTAATACATTGTGTTTCTGTGCTGCAGCATTTCTTAGCCTGCTACATCTGTATTATAGTGTTCATTAAGGTAGTGGACAGAAGTTGCAGATAGAGATTAAGGTGGAAAAATAAACAAAAGCATCATTTGATAATTTATTGATAAATTGACTATGCGCAATCTTTTTTGTCCAGTATGTGTGAGCAGTGTGTGGGTGCACTCACGCAGGCAGGCGTTGCTGGTGAACATGTGGAGGATACGCAGGCACTCCTGCCACTTGTTACCGCTGCCTTCACAGTTACACCACTGAGACACCTCCGTACTGCTGTTGCTCACGTAGTTCGGCGTCATGATCGTACCTACAGAGAGAGAGAGAAAGGGAGAGAGGGGGAGAGAGAGAGAGATAAAAGAATAAATGAAGGGAGATAAAGACAAAATAAAATTAAAAAGAGAAATAAGCAAAAAGCAAAAAAAAAGAAGAAAAAAAAAGGCTAGAAATTTCATGCTAATCAGCCTGGCCACCATCTGGGAGAGTCTCCAAGCTAGATCTATGCACTCCGCCCTCAGCTCTAATTATGTTAACACATGCAATCGCATCATCTCTCGTTTACATGACACATCTCTGGCTCCGTTTTGTCTGGCTAATTTCATAAGTGCCTGCTTGCCCCGCTAGCCGAGGTCGATGTCGCACCGGGGACTTAACCTACAGCCTTTTGGGACATTTTCCAAATTACTACAGTCGAACGGTCCCATGTATCCCCAGTGGAAAAGCACTGAGTAATCAGATATGACTCAACGTGTCAGAGAAAAACAAAACATGTCCATTTTGACGCAACAGAACACATGACATACAACGACTTACAACGACACGTGTGTCCAGTTAGTGACAAACTCTGCATCTATTTCATGTTCTAAGTCATATTGCACTGTGCTTTTGTTTTATACAGCTGCAAAAAATAATAAACAATGCAAAACACAGCTAGTGCAGAAGCATCTCATACACTGTTTTCTTTGAATACATGTATACATGTACTGCATGTACCTGACCTTAAAACTAGTATAAAACAATGTCTCAGATATCAGGCAGTGTATTCGTAACCATTTCATGTAATAACTTTCTGTGAGGGAGTTTTTAGAGACATTAACCTCAGACGCCTGGTTCCTATCACCACCACTGTGAACAATTCTGACTCAGTGAGCTTCTCTAGAACAGAGCATTTCACACCAAACCACTCTAAATGACTTTGTTCACATCTTAATCATTTAATTAAGCAGAAATTTTGAAAAGTCGATGAAATTCCACTGTAACCCAAAACATGTTGTTAATTGATGTGCTGCCATTTTTGAGAGTGCTCCATTTAAAACGCCAGCTGCTGCTTACAGTAAGGGAATATTTCATGATGAATGGACCAACAGAAATGGACCAAAATTACTGGGAGACAAAATCAATGTACATTCAATTTAAGAACATTTCGTTCCTCCTCATATAAAGTTACCACTTCGGAGAGACCAAGTTTTGTTAAAGCAGCAACAAAATGCAAACATTATCCAGTTATTCCCATCATTTCAAAGGTGACACGGTTATCATCAGGTGGAATACATTTACGTCACATGCTTTGAAGTATGTTAAAATAAAACTGCTGTATTTGAAGCGCAGCGGAGCCTGTGATCACTGTGAATTGGCAAGGACCCCAGGCTGCAGTCGTCAGGTGGTCTATCATGCAGGTTTTTTCTTTCTCATCACATCAGCCCTGCCGTGCATGTGTGTGTGTTCTCTCACCGATCAGCCCGGCGTACGCCTTCAGGCACACAGCGCCGCTCTCGCGCAGACAGCCTGAGGGTGAGTGAGGGGAGGGCTGGCAGTTCTGCTGGAAATCAGCCAGTCTCGACCTAGAGAGAGAGAGAGAGAGAGAGAGAGAGAGAGAGAGAGAGAGAGAGAGATACCAGAAACAGAGATAGCAGAGACAGAGGAAGAGAAAGAGAAAGAAGAGACAGACATGAGAGACAGACAATAAGAAAGAGAAAGAAGAGAGAGAGAGAAAGAAAAGAGAGATAAAATAAGAGGGGAGAGAATGAGGGATAAAAAGAGAGAGAAAGAGATCGGGAGAGAGAAAGAAGAGAGAGTGAGAGAGAAAGACAGAGGAGAGACAAACAGCGAAAGAGAGAGCAGAGACAGACAGAAATAGAAAGAGAAAGAAGGGAGAGATAAAAACAGGGGGGAGACAGAGTGAGAGAGAGAGTGAGAGAAAAGACAGAGTGAAAAAGAGAAAGAGCGAGAGCCAGAGACGGCCAGAGGGAGATAAAAGAAAGAGGGAGAGAGAGAGAGAGAGAGAGAGAGAGAGAGAAGAGAGCAAGTGAGAGATACAGAGAATGAGAGAGAGAGAGAGAGAGAGGAGAGAAAAAGAGAGATAGAAAGAGAGCAGAGACAGAGAGGAAGAGGAAGAGAAAGAAAAGAGAGACATGAGAGACACACAACGAGGGAAAGAGAAAAGAGGGATAAAAGAGGAGGAAAGCAGAGGGAGAGAGAGAGTGAGAGAAAGAAAAGAAAAAATAGAAAGAAAGAATACAAGAGAGAGCCACAGACAGCCAGAGAGAGGAACAGAAAAGAAAGCAAGAGAGAGCGAGAGACAATGAAAGAGTGAAATAGAGAGAGACAGAAAGACAGAGAGAGATAAAGAGAGTAAAAGGAGAGAGAGCAAGGGGGGGTAGAAGAAAGGAGAGAGATATATGTGTTATGCCATAGAAATACATCTATGGGAGACTTGTGTGCCGTATATTATCACCTACTCAGATGCCGTGTCTGTCTAACAGGTGTGTGTGTTCAGAACTGGGCCTGACCCATTTTTTACTTCAACACTTTTTATGTATTGTGACCAAAACTGAGCACTACACTTTCTCATTCTGTTAAATGGGATCTTCGCCAACTTTCTGTGAAGCTTGTCCAACATCACTTACAAAAACACACATTTGTGTGCGGAGCATGTAGAGATATAAAGGGTTCAATAAAGATGTTGTGAATGTAAGCCTGTGCTTGTGTGTGCGTCTCAGGCTGTTTACATCTTGCGGATCACGTTCAGATTTCATTTGACAGCATGAAAAGCCAGTGATCTTGACCACATTCAACACAAGTGTAAATAGACTGTGTTTTCTGTATTCACAAACAATTTTAAGAGCAGAAATGTGTCTGTTAAGTGCAGAACTAGCAGTTGAGAGGATAAACAAGGAAAGATGGAGGATTTGAGGCTGGATTAACCCAATCCTGCTTTCTTTCACTCTAGGCTGATGAAAGCGTTCAGGCCAAGCTCGTCAAGTCTTATTATAACAGGGAACAGGTAAATACCATGTCAGAGTCACTGATGTCACTGATGACCATTGATGAATAGAGTAAAGGATAGCAAATAGATTATGCAGAGAAACAGATGGACTACCGTCTGTAATGCTCCTATATGGTAAATAGAGCTAATCAAATGGACAATGACTGTAGATAAAAGGTATGTGTACCTGTTGTTTATTTCATTTATATCTTTAGTTTTATATATTTCCTTTCTATTATAATAAAGTGGCCAGTGAGTGTATATCCAGTACCGTGCAAAAGTCAGAGATTTCTTGCATTTCTTTCATTTCCAGTCAAACGGGAAGGTTATTATTTTTTTTAGCATCGGGGAAAAGAAGAAAAATATATTTAACATAAAATGACACAAAAGCCCCAACAGCTAAAAGTATTCTCAAATTTTTCTGGATTTAGTGTGTCCACTCTTTGCCCCTATTACAGCCTCCATTCTTTTCAGGAGACTCACTTTCAGTTTTGCAAAGAAATCTGCAGCCACAATCTGAAAGTTCAGTCTTAGAAGTTGGTTGTATTTTTTCTAACAATCCAAGTAAAGCCAGTTACTAATTTAGTCTCATCAGTTCATAAAATCTTACGCCACATCTCAAATGTCCAGTTTTGCTGTTCTTGTTTCTTCTTTATTGTCTGTTTTCTTTTCTCAGTAACAGCTTCTTTACAGCTACACATTCCTTCAGACTCATAGCGCTGAGTTGTCTTCTCCCAGTGGAAGGATGGACAGAAACACTGTGAATTTTCCTCAGATCTGTAGCAAGAGTGGAGCTTGATTTTCTCCTCTCTCTCAAACATGGAAGCTTTAAGTGCTGTTTATCTGATGGAGACTGTTTATCTGATGGCGCATGGTTGTTAGAAGCTCCATTTTCTCAGTATATTACAAAATATTTATCGAACTCCAGTTTTTCCAGTTTTTGACTTTCCCCTTCCTTCTGCAAGTGAATTATCTTATATCTAATTTCCTCAGAAATGTCTCCTGAAACTGAATAACTGGCTGTTTTGGCTGGAAATCGGTCTCTGACTTTTGCACAGCACTGTTTCTTTTCAGTATTTTATGTGTGTATTTATCCCTGCACACCTGCAGAGGTCATCTCGTAGGCAGAAGGTCTCCAGGTGAAGGCAGTTGGGCTGTGTGTCTCTCTCCTCATAAGAGCAGGACGGTACAATGGTCTTTCTCCGTCTTTCTCCACACAGCGGGTCATTACAGGAGCAGAACAGCAGGCTGAAGCTGTATTCCTCTGGCACGCGCTCCAGAAACCTGCGCAGGGCCCGGTGACACTTCTGACGGTTACACCGCTCCGAGCCCGCCACGCGCTTAGTGCACGCCAGAACGTACTCAGAGCGCAGAGCCCCGCACTTCTCAAACAGACCGCAGTCCTGAGCCGCCTTCAGACAACGGTTCTGTCCATCCAGAGGTAAAGATGAGACTGAGGGAGGGAAGGAGGGAGGGGAAGATAAAGGTGTGAGGAGAGGTGTGAAAAAGAGAGCGAAAGAGTCAGCAGGGCGACAGACACTGCGTCAGATATCTTTTCGACCCGATGACACAAAACACAGAGAGCATGAACTGTGAAATATGAGATATATCACCGGCCTTTGATTTTGAGGTGTTATATAAGAAGAATGGAAATCAGATACTCACACAGTGGAAATAGCCTTTATATTACATTACAGGGGCCAAATCATGGAAAATGGAGTTTTCCTTGTGTTGTTTAAGCTGCACTATGTAAGATTTCTTTGATAAAACTGAAAGAAGTAGCATCACTGAGTCAGGAGAAAGTATACACTCTAAAATATGGTGTGTATGCGCTGCTGTGAGCTGACCTCTAAAGCCTGAAATAAGGATTTAAAAATCCTGGTTAGATTTTGCGGGACCTTTTCAGACCACATCACACGTATTTACAAATTAAAGACTCAAATAGAAGGTCCATCTCAATGTTAAGGTCCCAAATGCAAAATCAACATTAGACTGATGATGATATGATGACAATAGTAGATCATGTGACTGAGTGTTTTTGACAAGTTTTGACTGAGTTCTGAATACTTTGAATACTCTTTCAATGCACTTGCAATCATCAGATTCACCCCGCTCTCTCTCTTTCTCTCTCTCTCTCTCTCTCTCTCTCTCTCTCTCTCTCTATCTCCCTCTGTCTTTTTGTCATCTCATCTCAGGGAGGGGGTCCAAAGAAGAAGGAGGGTTATGTTAATAAATGTTCTTCCACACATTGTGTGCACTTATACATTTCCACCCGAGAGGTCACCCAATCCCAAAACTTACACAGTGCAGCTTTAACATTGTCCCTACAATCATAAATCCATGCAGTTCATAAATAGAAACTAAGCGGCAAAACAGAGCATTTTGAATTCATCATGGTAATGATGTCACAACCAATAACTTAATTACCAGCCGTTCATCCTGTAGATGAGTAGAAAGGAATTTGTGAACAAGGGCAGCCAATCAGAACAGAGGTCATTTACATATTTACATTTGCATTTTGCTGTGAGGAGCACAAGAGCATTAATGAGGTCAGTTGCCAATGTGGGATGATTAGGTTTGGATCAGAAACATCTCTCCGACTCATCCCAAAGGAATTGGATGGAGCTCCATCACTCGAGAGAACGCAGTTTCACTGCTCCACGGCCCAATGTTGGGGGGCTTTATACCCCTAGAGCCAATGCTTGACATTAAGCAAGGTAACCTTGGGCTCATATGCAGCTGCTCCAGAGCAATCAATGCTTTTCTATTGAGACTATCCCTCTCTATATGTGTGCAATTGAACATGTTTCATCAATGGGTGCACCTTAAAGCAGTGGAATTCGCTAATTAGGAGAGCTGGACACTTATGGACACATGATGTATCACAGTAACAAACGCAGCTTGTTTAGTGTTAATTTAAGGATGGGAAAATTCAATGTAAATCTGAATCGGGACTGTTTTTGGTATGCAATAAAAGTCGTATGATAATTGAAGTACCTGCTACGATTGAGGCCAGTTTTGATGTTTCAGAATTTCTTACGAGCTCCAGTTCAATGTCTTCATAAGGGGACGTCTCAATGTCATCATACCCTGCAACACATACACACACACACACACAACACACACACGCAAATACACATCGTCTTATCAATCCAGATACACACTCAGAGCTTTCTATCTGAGCCAAACAAGCGGAATATTCCAGACTAATTAAGCCTGCAGAACTGCACCATTACCTTATCATTACAGCTAATTAAGAGAGCCGCTCTGTTTAATCAAATTACAGGGATTATATGATGGCTCTATGATTGTGCTTCATACATAATAAGTAATATGGCACAGTTTGCACTTAGATTTTAATAAGGAGGAAGAGTATGTGTGTATCGAGTGAGGGAGTTTATTTGGTTGGTTGTACAAACCCAGTTCCAAAAAAGTCAGGACAGTATGCGAAATGCCAATAAAAAGAGAAAGCAGTGATTAGTAAATTCTGCTTGACCTGTATTAAACCGAAACCAGTACAAAACCCGATATTTCATGTTTTACCTTTTGAACTTCATAGTTTTTTGCAAATACATGCTCACTCCATGTATGATGCCTACAAGACTTTCCTAAAAAGTTGGGATGGGTGCATGTTTAATATGGTGTTACATCACCTTTTACTTTGAATAGCACTTAATAAATGTTTGGGGACTGAAGATGCAAACTGAGCCAGTTTTGAAGGTGGAATTTTTTTTTACCATTTTTCAGTTAAGTCCTTAGATGGTTAACTGTATAGGGCCTTCCTTGTCATATTTTGCACTTCATAATGAGCCATACATTTTCAATAGGAGACAGACAGGCCAGTGTAGCACCCACACTCTCTGATTGCGCAACCACGCTGTTGTAACATATGTAGAATGTGCCTTGGTGTTATGTTGAAATAAGCATGGACATCACAGAAAAAGACGGCATCTAGAAGGCAGCATGTGTTGCTCAAAATGTGTTCAGCATAAATGGTGCGTCACGGATGTACAAGTTAACCACACCATGAACGAACGCTCACTTTTGAACTGTACACTGGTAACAATCTTGATGGTCCTTTCCTTCTTTGGACCAGAGAACATAACATCTGTTACTTCTACACATAAACTAAAATGTTGACTTTTTGCACGTTACACACGTTTCCGCTGTGCGTCAGTCCATTTCAGAAGAGCTTGAACTCAAAGAAGTGGGCAGTGTTTCTGGACAGTGTTGACATATGGCTTTTGCTGTGTGTAGTACAGTCTTAACTTGCGTTCGTGGTTGCAGCGACAAACAGTGTTTATTGCCAAAGGTTTGCAAAAGCATTCGTGACCCCATGCGGGAGGGACTGCAGGTCACAGGCATTTAGTTGAGGTTTTTGGCTTTACTTTCTAAGGATTTCCTGAATCTTTTGATGATATTATGCACTGTACAGGGTGAAATACCTAAAATCCTTGCAAAACACTCACTGGACTATTTGCTGAGCTTCAACCCATCCTTGCTCATAAAGGACTAGGCCTTTCCTAGATGCTCCTTTTAATCACCCAGGCATGATTAATCACTTCTTTTAAAATGTTTTCTGGACATTTAACAATGTTCCTAGTCTTAAATTGTCCAAACCCGAACTTTTTTGAAACGTGTTGCAGGTATCAATTTCAGAATGAGCATGTATTTTTAAAAAAAAGAAGTTAAAATATTAAATATTTTGTCTTTATACTGCTTTTGTTTAAAATCTGGTCAAACTGGATTCAGAAATCACTGCTTTCTGGTTCATTTGCATTTCACATACCGTCCCAACTTTTTTGGAAGTGGGTTTGTAGGTTGCAGGATACGGTTTAGTGCTTTTGTAGATTACAAACTGATACACAATTGCTCCAAATTCATGACTCTGAGAATTTACATTAGGGGTGGGCAATATGATGATATTTATAGTATATGCGTAAATATAAATAAATATAGAACTTATACTGTATAGTGTATACTTTTTTTACACTGTAAAAATGTAAATCAATATTTTATTGATTTTCTTTGTGAAAATACGTACCTCCACAGAGAACACACTTCTGCACATTTTATTGCACACTTTCTATTTATTTGCTAAATTTAACATGTTGTGGGAATAAAATGAAACATAAAATGTGTCTGTGCAAAAGTTATGGCACATTTTATATTTTATCTTTTATTTTTTTCTCTCAATGTGTTAAACAAATGAATAGATATTGTACCCTAACATGCCCAGAAAATGCGTTATTTAAGTTTGTTCACTGTAGATGATGTGTTATTCTCTTATTTTCACTAAGAATATCAGCAAAACATGTCATCTAGACCACAGGATTATGGCAGTGTATTCAATATTCAGTCATCACTACTTTTTCTAATAAAAATACACCACCACCACATACAGAGCCCTTTCCTTCATTTGGGGAACACAAGCAACATATGTCGCTTAGTATGCAAGAATGAAACTGTATTCAAATTTAATTTTGATCAGGAAAAAAAAATCTAAGGCAAGTAATTTAACAATATGTAACTATATTTATTTATTATTTTTCCCTGCATAATCAATGAAACAATGTGTTTAAGTGGTATTTGTGCCAGTGTTCTTGGCCTGTTTTGAAGCAAAGTCATCATGTATAATTTTTTTTTTCTAAAGAAAACAAACAAAAAAAACAAAAAAGCATAATCGCAGGGCCCATGGTGGCTCGGGGGGCCATAAGTGACTGCTGATACTACTTATAGTAAAAGCCAGCCCTGCTCACACACACACAGCAAATGCCTCACATTCTCTCTTTCACATCAACCAAATGCACTGCATCATTTCTTTTTTTTTCTTTTTTTTTACTTATCTCTATCTTGCATGCAGGCAAAACACAATGTAAATAAATAGAGCAGCGTTTTGGCACAGTGAATATCACACTGCAATTACAGATACGATTTCCAATTTGAAACACAGGCCTTTGCACTTGACACTTCTATACGATGCTGGCTGAAAAGCACTCTCTCTCTCTCTCTCTCTCTCTCTCTCTCTCTCTCTTATGAAACCCTGTACGATCTCTCTGTTCACACATCTCACCATTCAGAGCCACTGAATGGACTCAACTCATCGGTTTTGTTGCACTTAAACTATAACGGACATTCATTGAGAGAACCGATGAGAACATATAGATTTCCATACGCCAACACATTTTCTGTCACGTACACATAAAGCCATGTATGCACACTGATACATTCATGTCGTACATGCATTTACAGTGGCTGTCATATCAAAACCTTGTAACTGCATTTTTTATTGTTGTTGTTTTTTATGCTTATACACCAACTGAAACCACCCACTGCCCTTTACATCATATGAACAGTTCATGATGAATGGACCAATAGAAACAGCCCAAAATTATTTGAAATAAAATCTTGGGTAACACCTCAGTATAAGGGGACTTTATAAGACCCACGTAAGCCTCTTATTAGGCCTTATCAAGCCAACAGCTGACAATTAACTGGCTGCTCATTACTATTTTATTAAAGGGCCTGTATCGGACGTTTTATATTCACATATTACATTTTTCCCTGAGGTCCACTTATAATGTTAATGAACCAAACACAGACAAATGATATTTTTACATGGCCATTTCTCCAACCTCACTTTAGCCCTTAGAAACAGGCCATTTTCATTACTGTGCCTTTAAATGCTGTTTGTTCTCAATCGCAGCTTTATGTTATGTCTCCTTTAAAAAGCAGTCCAGGCTGAAACACATCTAACATCAGAGTGTGTTAGTAGGGACTAAACTGCTATAGGCTGAACAGGTGGATATATGATTGTATGCAAATGTTTGAACACCCCCAGTCAAATAACATGTTTTGATGAGTTTCTAAATGAAAATATAAAAATAAAATATAAAATGTGCCTTAGCACATTTTCAATTTCATTTTCTCCCCAATATGTTAAATGCAGAAAATAAACAGTAATTGGGCATTAAAATGTGCAGAAGTGTGTTCACTGTAGGAGATGTGTTACTTTTTACTTTGAAAATCAACTTTTGCTTATGACTCTATATAAAATTTTGATAGATCGAACTGAATGTATACTGTTTATACTCTTTAAGACTTTTTGAGCTAAAGCATCATGTGTTAAAGCTTAAAATTGACACTTATTTATGAATTCCATTAAAATAAAACGAAATGCTCTCCTGCTTAGCAAGTTGTTTTTTTTGCAGCCAACAAGGTCTCAGAATATGTTTATCATCTTCAGTGATGTGGGGGAAGCATCCCAGGGGGCTCCTCATGAAGCTGCTTTAGAGACTGATCAAGAGTGTGTAAAGCTGCTTCGCGGCAAAGAAGAGAGTAATGATTTCTTTAACACTATTTGGTCACTTTTATCTATGTAATTTTTATTTTTGGATATGTCTGCCCAATTGAGTCATGTCCAGTTCCACCCTCTAGCTAGGGCTCTCCCTGTCACACAATACTACCAAGCTGGGAGGGGGGATGCTATCACATGGTTATGTGCCATTAAATCTTTTCCAGTTGTCAGCTCCTGTAACGTCATTGGACAGCTGTATGCACTTGGAGGAGAACATTAACCGCTAATTCAATTACGTCAAACTCATGATCTCCTGATGACTGGGTGACTGCTTAGATCACATGCGTCAGGCTCCAGTCCTCACAGGTCAAAACACTGCAGACTTCAGCACACTGCCTCATTAAACACACCTGATTCAGCTCGTCAGCTGATTAGCAAGGCCTTCATGAACTGAATTCAGAGTGTTAGATGAGGGTAAACGCTAATCTCCGCAGCACTTTAGCCTAGAAGGTCCCCAGTTGGACATGCCTGGCTTAGATAATAGCGTCACTCACGCTTTCTGTTACTTAATAGTTTTGATGTTTTCAATATTATCCTAAAATGTGGAAAATAGAGAAAATAAGAAAATCTGTTCTATACAATTGTGTTAAAATTTCCGACCTGTCGCTGCTGGAAGAAAGCCTTATGTTCCAGGAGAAGGAAGAAATTTCTAACGCTCCATTCATAATTGAAATGTTCACACTTTGCAAAGGGCAGCTGGTGCTTTCAAATGTGTAAAAATACCAAAAGTCCAAATACCCCAGGTCAAATCACATGTTCTGTTAATTTTCTGTGTGAAAATAATACATCTGTTAATACATCTGCTAATTTTAGAGCACAATTACAATGTATTTGTGAGATGAACATATTGGAAAAGAATAAACAAAACATAAAATGTGCAGTACCGGCCACATTTATGTTTTATTTTTCTTTCAGTACATTAAATTGAGTAAATAAACAGTAATTGTACATTTAAACATGCTGAAGTGTGTTCTCTGTAGAGGATGTGTAACTTATTTTCACTTTATAAATCAACAGTGTCATTTGACCAGGGGCGCCTAAACTTTTGCCCACGACTGTATGTACACATCCACTCAAGCTCCTCCTCACCCTGTGGGAATCGAACGGTCCAGTAGACTCTGAGGCAGGTGGGCTCTCTGCGTGAGCCGCGCTGGCACTTGCACTCCTGCAGGCTGTGGTAGTGCAGCAGGGCGTTCTGGGCGTCGCTGCAGGCCTGCCGGGCGTCAGGGGTCAGCGTGGCCACCGCCTCCTCGTCCACACAGTAATCTAGCTGCCGGTACAGCTTCTCACACTCCGGCTCAGACATGCACTCTTCCACAGCCTCCACGCAGTCCAGCGTCCCCGGAAACAGAGGAATCACCGAGGACAGTGAACCTGGAGGAGGGGTCAGCGGAACAAGAACAGAAGACACTTTAGAACACCACTCAACGTTTTTCCTCCTGGCAGTGCACTTTGGTAGCATGGTATGGTTTTTAATGCAACGCTGCTGTTAAAAGTAAACACAACAGTAGCAACAATGGAGAAGCTTCACATTCTGTTTAGGGTTGCCAGATTGCAGCCATGTCACAAATGGACAGTTTTAGAACAGTTTGATCATTAATTCTGGTTAATTTTGCTTGTTTTCGTCCATTTTTGTTCATGAATTATCAATTAAAATCTTTAAGTGCTGTACACTTTAAGAGCTGTTCTACCATTGTATAAGACATATCAAATGTCTGTGACTGTGCTGAGAAAGAGAGAGAGAGAGAGAGAGAGAGAGAGAGAGAGAGAGAGCAAGCAAGAGAGAGAGAGGGGTGTAATGACAGGGCAAAGAACAAATACCTGGCAAAATGTAGTTCTGATTTACCCCAGAGTCACAGATTCTGGCTAGTGTTTTTTTTTTTAAGGTGGTCGTGTGACACAAGTGATGATGTGTGACCATTGTGTTCAACCAATCAGTGGTCTGCAATATTTCTAGCTCCGTTCAAGCACTTCGCTTGGCACCCTGGCAAGAAGAAAAACACCTTTATCTAACAAGCTGAAAGTATGGAAGCGAGCAGCGATTTGTAAAGTTTCAAAACTACCTTACAGGTTAACACAACACACATTCATTGACATACACGTTAACCAGATTCTTTACCTTCCTAGCCTTTTTCACAGTGCAACCCTTTTTGCAACACCACTTTTTGCCAAATTGCACCCCCCCACCCCACCCAGTCATCCACCCCGACACACACACACCTGTAAACATTAAAGAGAGATAGTAAGTCTACTCACTTACTGGGCCTGCATTCCTTAGCTATCACTTCACCACAAACCACAAGTCTTTAGCCTGGTGCTAAAAAAAAAGCGTTTAATAAGTTTAGCGGCCAATCAAGATCCTGTCTCAGCCAATAGAAATTCATAACCCACATTAGCCTGTCTTCCATAGCCTGTAGATGCAGCCATTCAGCAGAGCTTGTATGCACTCATCAAAATGATTTTCTCTGTGTTTGATAAGGTATCATAGCACCACTCTTGTGCCCCCCCTCCTTGAGACCATATTGCGACCTCCAGGGGGTCCCAACTCCCAGGTTAAGAATTCCTGTTCTAGAAGACTGCAGTGCTGTACTCTTACTCTAGCGAATTGCACAGTAAAGTGCTTCATTAGCCCTATTGGAGCTGGATTAGTTTTACATGGCGGTGCTGTAATTTGAGTGACTACTAACGAGATCTGTAATCCGAATCTAGTATGAATCTGCCATGTAGTTTTTACTAGTCTGCTAAGTAATAATTCTAAAATTCATCAAACTTCATGCTCCTGTTCAAATTAACCTCACAGTAATGCAATAACACATCTTGGTGATGGACTTCGCATCTCTGCCTTTGCCTTGGCTAACAGCAAAGATTCTGGCAGGTTTTACCAACTAAAAACGAGCTATAGAAATGATCTCAAGCTATGTTAATCCTTTATGAATCACTCAGTGACTATTCTATCATATATTCTTTGGAAAATGAGTGTTTGAGCTTTTCTCAAGTATGAAGACACTCAACGAAAACATTCACGTGCACTGGCTCAAATAAAGTTGATGTCCTTTCTTAAATGTACAGCTCTGAATATTAAAGTGTTAAAATTACAAAAAAAAGTTTGATCGACCGTTGGCTGTGAGTTCCCAAGCTAATGACTTTACTAATGACACATTACATTCACTTAAGACTGCAAATGTTTAGCGAATACAATATCACAATAAATTAAATGTTTGGACATGTTTTTGTACCTGTGTTTCATGATCTATCCCTGCTTTCAGAGAGGGCCAGATCATACGGTGATAATAAAATACCAAAATACCTGAGGGCCAAAATATTATAAACAAATGATTCAAAATATCAGTGCATAGAATCAGAGCCTTCTGTGAGCTACTGTGTTTTTTATATCACTGTATAAAACATACACGGCTTATATTATTGTTGGATTGTTTAGAGCAGTTTGAATCTGTGATTTGTTTAAGGGTAACACTAAACATGTCCAACGTATTAATTATATTCATATTTGAACTATATTTACTTCCAAAGTATCATTTGTTAAACTAAACAAAAATCTATGAATTTTCAATTTTGTTACAAAATGTTCTGTATATATCAAATAAATGCAGTGCCAGCTTTCAGAAATCACTTAATTAATAATAAACACCATAAATAGCTGTTATTGTTTGATCTTAAAGGGTTGATATTTACTGAACTGCTCTGATAAGAAGTTGGTGCTGTTAGACTCGGGAAGCTGAAAGCTGTTTTAGTTTCTCTCCTGAAGATTTATTGTAAGGACCTTTCTTTGTTTCATGTTTATTAATATCAAATTCATTACAGTCTTTTGAAATATGAGGCAGGCGCATTTGCTGTGGCTCTCGATGAAAAAGTATTCAAATTTCCATCTTGCCAAAATCGCAGTCCTCAGTATTGAGTTTGAGCTTTATGGCTGCAGTCTGGACTAAATGTGGTTCAGTAAATGAAGCTGCAGGTCTACTCAGAGAAGAACGGCTCTCAAACTTTAGCTAACTTTATTACCTCAGTGCAGCGCAGTGTAGCGATTTAACAGCACTGCTGCCGCCATCAGGTGAAAGGAAGAACTGCAGCGCACCAGCTTAAGGGTCACTTATATCACACTTTAAAACAGAGGCCATGAGCCAATTAAAAACACCGTGGGCCACATTTGGCCCTGGGGCCGGACTTTGGACACCTCTGATGTAATATGATTTCTTATCTTGTGTGGATTGGTCATAAACATTATAACATCCTGTGGTAGAATAACCTTTTTCCACCTCCCTGATGTACAACTAACACTGTCTAAATAAAACTTTGGCTATTTATTTGGAACCTTCTGAATTTGATGATTGTGAGCATATTGAAAGAACATTCAAAGAGAAACCAAGGTAAAGGACGCAACTTCCAAGGATGTAAGCAAATTATCTACCACTGTCATCACATATTCATATCAGTACAATGTTAACTGCATTTGAGACCTAAACATTGAGCTGGATCTTCTTTTTGAGCTGTGTGTAACATTAAAATCTCTCAATTTTAGCAAAAATAATATAAGTACTGCAGCTTTATCCACTGACAGTGTGTTTTGTGAATCAATCCAAGTCTCAGTTATAGTAGTTTAGCTATGTGATGAATCAACAAATGATACGATATCACAGCTTTGTTCTATGCTAAGTTCTATACTAAGTCTATGCTAAGAGACTGATGGTGCTCTCACTCCCCACCTCACTTATCTTACTCTTGCCTTCTCTCTCTTTCTGTCTGTGACTTCTTTTTGGGTCTATTTCACCTATATGAGATCTGTTTCCTCAGTAATGTCTTTACATGTGAGGTATGTTTAATTATTTGAATGTGTTGACCTGTTGAGATGATCTTGTTCTATTTTTATGCATTCTTTAATATTCTGAAAAGCACTTTTTAAACTTCAGCATCATTTTTTTTTTATCCAAGTCTTCTCTTTTTACTTTTTAGGATTTATTTCATTATAGAAAAATTCATATATATACATAGCCTTTTATGTAAGATTATGAGCATGTGTGCAAATGCGTTGAGATGATCTTTCTCTATTTTTATGCATTTCTTTTAAGTTTCTGTTATTGTGAAAATTATATCTTTTTCTATTTCATTTTACCATTATTTGATTTTGATCTGTTTCATGGTCTTTTACTTTTTAGGGTTTACTACATGACGGAAATTATGGGTGTTTTTTCATACATTTCTAAATTATTCTCTAAATCTTTCTCTTAATGTGTTATTTCATTTTCATGAAATGAAATATGTTTAAACATTGTTTAAAACAAAATCACATTTATTATTGTAAAGTTAGAGCTGCTACATTCAACCATTGGGAATGAGTGATGTAAAACCACCAGCATTCTGTCAGCCATTAATCATATCAAAGCATGAACGCTGCCAAAATCAATCGTGATACAGCATGTTGAATTTAAATCTTCATTCTGGCCTAAAAAAGGCAAAACAAACACAAACAGATTTGCTGCCATTTCTGTATAAGTAGATCTTTCCTGGGCTAACAGTGGGTATTTCTAACGACATTCACAGACACCACAGCAGGAGGAGAGGGGGATGAGGAAAGGAGAGGAGCAAAGGACTGGACAAAAGGTTGGGGGATGGGGTCCACACACATTTGGGGTTATGGGTCAAAATCCACAGGGTCAAACATTATGGTAAGTTAATCAAATTAGCCAGTATACAACAAGTAACAGGGCAGTGATTAATGCTTTCGGTGACAGCTGTTTAAAACATCATGTGAGGAGTGTCCAGTCTGCCGCTGTCTGAACGACCGATGGGAAAATATTCTGATCGTGGAAAGAAAAGGCCATCAATCCTCAAAAGAAGTCCATTTCAGAAACAGTCCTTCACGCCACAGCTTTAAACCCCCAGAGGTCACAGCTGGGCTCGGTGTGCTGCTGTCATCACTTCTTTCTCTCTGTTTTTTATTAAGTTTCATAAACTTTTAAAAATAAAAAAGGGAAAATAACTTCACGACCCCAGCGTGAACCCTATCCCTGCATGGGTATAATAACTGCCTCTCTCCCTCTCTCTCTCCCTCTCTCTCTCTCTCCCTCTCTCTCTCTCTCTCTCCCTCTCCATCCCCCATCTCTCTCTCTCTCACCCTCTGGAGCAGCAGGGTGTCCTAATTGCCGCTAGGCCTCATTTTAAAGCATGTGCTGATTGAGCGCCGGCGGCTGCGGGCTGTAGACTAAACTGCCATGGAGGCACTGGGCCTGGGCTTCAGGAAAAAACACACACAGCAGCGTCCAGCTCCGGCTCTGGCAGGAGGAGAAACAGACTGCAGCAGCCAAAGCAAAATGACCAGACAAATGGAATTAGGCTATTCATTGCCATGTATTTAGCCA